TCGTAATGCAATCACGACCTCTAGACTACTTCATAACAGAAGCTGAAATAAGCAAGGAAGCAAGAAAATTAAAGAATAACAAATCTGCATACTCCGACAAAATAAGAAACGAAATGATTAAAACTAGCTTACCAACACTGCTACCAGTTTACCATAAACTTTTTAATACTGTTCTTAACTTAGGAACAGTGCCTAAAAATTGGTTCAACAGTCTTGTAACTCCCATATTTACATCTGGCGTAAGAAATGACCCATCAAATTACCGCGGGATTTGTGTTTCTAGTTGTCTAGGAAAGTTGTTCTTCTCAATTTTAAACCAAAGACTTCTTGAACACGTCACTTCGCTGAACATACTCCACAAGTCTCAAATAGGCTTCTTACCGAAAAATCGAACATCAGACCACCTCCTAACATTACGAACTCTTATAGACAAGTACGCACACTATCACGGTGAAAAAGTATACGCTTGTTTTGCTGACTTTTGACTCAGTCTGGCATGACAGACTTTTATATAAATTATTACAAATTGGTGTAGGGGGATGTTTCTATAAGTTAATCAAAAACCGATATTCAAACTCTTCGTGTGCATTGAAAATAGGTACGAGTCAAACAACATCTTTTAGCTATTCACGAGGCGTACGCCAGAGCTGTATTTTAAGCCCCTTGCTTTTCAATTTATACGTTACTGAGTTACCATCCGCATTTCAAAATACTTTATCAGACCCTATCATCCTTCCAAATGGCACCAAATTAAATTCGCTTTTATATGCCGATGATTTAATTATTATATCACGATCTAAAATAGGATTACAGAACTGTCTCAACACACTATCCTCTTTTTGCAACTCTTGGATGTTAGATATAAATTCCAAAAAGACCAAAGTCTTATGATCTTTCAAAAAGGAGCGAAGAAAAACTCCAATCTAGAATTACATAAAGGTAAAGAAACCATTGATATTGTCCATGAATATACATATTTAGGAACCCGTATCTCCTCAACCGGCAATTTTAATATCTCACTCGAACACTTGAAAGAAAAGGCTCTTCATGCTCTTTTTCGTTTAAGAAAACACACAAACTTTAGCAAATTAAAACCTTCTCTTGCTTGCAAAATATTTGAAGCGATGATTTCCCCAATATTATCATATAATAGCGATTTTTGGGGATGTATATGTAAAACATGATTTTAAAGCTTGGGACAATACCCCAATTGAAAAAACCCACTTGAAATTTTGCAAGCGCTGCCTAGAAATAAGCAATAAAGTTTCAAATGTTGCAAGTAGAAGTGAATTAGGACGATTGTCATTAGTTATTAATATTTACAAAAACATCCTTTATTACGTATTGTATCTTCTGCGTAAAAACGAGGATACTATTGTTAAACAAGCCTTTCGTACCTCGCTAAAACTTCACTGTAATGGTAAAAATAGCTTTACCATAATCTTATGAAAATATCTGAATATCATGACCTGCCTGATTTTGATCCTAACAATTTGAGTGAAGCTCAGATCAAACACCATATAGATATAACTAGTAATAGTTGTCACTACAGCTGCCCCCGTGACTGTGTTGACTGTTGTTATGTTGTAATAGTCTTTTAACTCAGATCAGAAAAGGTGTAGACTGAATTTGAGACGATTACTTTGAGTTGTTTTTACTCTCTCAGGGGGAAAATGAGTCGAAGTAATCGTCTGAAATCCAGGCTAGAAAAGGCGGAAAAGGCAATAGGAGTTTGGAATGAACAGAGTATGGAAAATCGACGAAGTCGCAGTTCGTTTACAAATAAGTTTATTAAAGGATATCGTTTATTGACAATATTACTATATCTAGAGTTATTTAATTGAAAATTGGTAAAAATATTGTATAACTAAAAAAACGGAACTACTGCCTATGCAAAATATGGCTATTATATATAATTTTTGTTTGCAAAGTGGCAAGAAAATTGTGTTAATCAGAACGATAATTGTTATTCGTTGTGTAACAATGATGCACAGGATATATGCAACAGAGAAACTTAGTGTCCCATTCAACTGTGTTTGCATGAAGATAACATTAACTTTAAAAAAAATTAAAACCAATTAGATCTCTTTGTGCTATTGCTTTTACAATACGTAGCTGTTATATTTTTTTTTTCTTTTTTGTTTGCATGTTCGCAGAAAACTGATTTAATTAGATAATAAATCTTTTTTTTCTAAAATGGTGTAATAGGCTATAACTAACTCAGTGTTCCGCTCGATTGTCTTTGCAAGAAGATAACAATAACTTTAAAAAACTAATTAATTGGCCTTGTGCTACAGTACAACATGTATCTAGAAACTGAGTGCTTCACTCAACTGCCTTTGCAAGAAGATAACCTACAATAATAACTTTAAAAAATATTTCATTGAATGTCTTTGTGCCACTGCTCAAGCAATATGTGGCTGTTATATTAATACAATACAATACAATAAGAGTTTATTGTGAAAATACACTAGCTACAATAATAGTGTGCTTTCACAGA